ATCAGTCAAATATCCCAAATAAAGTGAAAACTGACAATTTTGATAAACGTTATATCTTTTCATAAAGACCAATTTCCTTTAAAAATGCTAAAGTCTTATGGCTAGAAACCTATGTAAAAAGCTCTTTTGAATTAGAAACATTAGAACATGTTTCACGTATCAACACAGTATCAAAACAATCTAAAAGTATGTGCTTCGTGGTATACTGACACTGACAGGGAATACACATAGGAGCACCATCGCCCTTTAAAAGGAAAGAATGAGTAAAATGTGAATGCCCTATACGACATCGTCTTAAAACAACATCATCTCTTCGATATTCAGCACTGATAATATTACCACTTATGATTGGTTGAATAACATGTAACTTGTTCGTGGTTTGTTGATCCTAATTCGACTGCCAACATTGATGAACATAATGCCTTATAACAGGCACGCAAATCAGTATAAGGAATCTTGGCGGGTATTACTGTTTGTTCAAGAGCAGCCTTTGCAGCAGCATCAGCTCTACTGTTTCCTGGTATGTCAACATGGCTTGAAAGCCAACAGAAAGCAATGTCATTATCTGCTGCTGCTGACTTCATGTACAGGTCTAAAATCTCAAGAGTGGTCACCTTTCCGACCGTTTATTGTTTGCAAGCGGTATAAACTGCCAGAACATATAGGCCATGAGCCATGAGCCAGGAGAGACCAAACGTTTTAGTGTTTCTTAATATTCCTTTATGTCTCTGTATATGAAAAAAGTAGGACATCTCAATTTGATAGCTCAGACTCATAATCCAAGATCCATCATAATCCAAGATGGTCGCCCAAAAAAACCCATTTTTGTGTGGAAAATGTCAATTCCAAGCTTTAATCATGAGTAAAGTTCAACAAGTAGGTTGGAAATGAAATACAGGAGGTAGAATGGTGCTAACGTGACTAAAAAGATTCAATTAATATGAAATCGTGTTATGTGATACCTATAAATCATATTTAGGGCTCCTTGCCATTAGGCAGGAGACCTATTGTAATCGTTCGTGTTTTTATTATTATTATTATTATTATTTATTCTTCCGCCGTATTTTGTAACTGAGCTACAGAGAGCACCGCTGGACAGAATGCCTTGAAAAAAATCACCCAGATGCCCACCGAGGTGTACATATCGCGCTTTAAAATCTGTAGGCTGTAGGCCCAATAGCAAAGGGCAGATAATTCAAAATTAATTCAAAAATTTCAAACGCAAATGCAAATATCTCCAAAACTAATGCTCCAATGTTTGCCAAAGTTCTGGAGCAGATGCGCAATCAAAATGCCTACAATTTCGCCTGGATGGCTCAAGTCGCTAAAATGCACCGTTTGGACGCTATTTGGGATTGAAGTTTTTGGTGATGTTTTTCAGCAAAATCCTGACTGCATACCTCCCAAAATGTGCTGCACTAAAACTACAAGGGCTACGGCTTTCAAACGATGCATACTTTGTGTCTATGCATGTTTCTACACAGTAGCATCGTCAAAAGTGCCTATGTTTATATGATGCCCGCCATATTGGACGCTACTTTTGGGCAAAAGTTGTCTTCAAAAACTTTCACTGGCTACTTGGCTGTTCTGTGCCAAACGAAACTTACCACACACAACACTTTAAACGCTTGTTCTGAAGTTGCCTTTGGTTGTTGAGCATTTTCTGTTCTTGGTCCTATGTCAAAAGTCACGTGATGCGGCGGCCATATTGGATTGAAGATGTTTCTCGGAAATGTGCAGATTTTGTTGGGTAGGCATTTTTCGCAATCCATAACTCTGAACGTATGAACTGCAGAACGCTGTAAATGTGCAGATATACAACATATACCTCAAATATTAATGCCCATAAGCTATGTTAATGATATCTTGATTAGTTACGGATATCTAGATGTTTGCTTCTGTTGTTTATTTTGTACTAAAATGTATTTTCAAAAATCGCAGCGACATTACTTCTATTTCAACTAGGCAGCTAGCATCTGGCAGTACGTAGTAACTGAGTGTGTCAAACATTTTTTGTTCTTGGGTGCATGTCAAAATGTGTATTGCTTGGCGGCCATATTGGATTTCGTCAGATTCTGATGATACTACGTTATAAACAGCACAGCTGCTCCAGTTCTGCACGGAAGGCAGTAAAACTTGGCAGTATGCATCAACATAAGATGCTTAACATTTCGTGTTCTTACGTGCATATCAAAAGTTTGATCGTTTGTCGGCCATATGGCATTGACAATTGCACAAATGCATTATGTCTCCTACAATCGAAATGCCTACCATTTCGCCTGGACGGCTCAAGTCGCTAAAACGCACCGTTTGGACACGTGAAACGGTGCGTCTGATAGCTGAAGTTCTGACGATGCCAGAACACCAATTGTTTTGAACGTAGACCCAAGGACAACGGAGCTACGGCCTGTCAAAGAGCGAGCTATTTCTTCTCCGGAACTTCTTAAAAGGTACATGACCCCGCGCCGACCAGGGGTCAAGTGTTCCTGTCCTCGGAGCTCATGTTTTCCACCTTTAAAACACCCGTAACTCGGACACCAACCATCCGATTTCCACCAAAATTGGAATACGCATTAATGCCGCCGGTGTGAGTCGTGTGTACCAGTTGCAGCGACATAGCTTCAAAGACAACGGAGGGACAAATAATAGTCTATTTTCCTCACTACAGTTGCTAATCTGGATTGCTTTTCTACTGAGGGCTATGAAAATTGGCAGTGTATATGTGTATGGTTTGCCGATCATTTCTTATTCTAAGGTACATGGTAAAAATATCACCGTTTCGTGGTTAGAGGCAGCCCTGGAAATCCTACAAATCCACTCACTCGCTCGCCGACTTTGTGATGTCTGGAATGTGTCATAACTTTCTCGGAGATTTACGACACGGCAGATTGCCCGTGCAAGGCATGCGACAGTCTGAAGGAAAGCGCGGGGACGATATCTGCTATAAAGAGACTACCACTGCAAAGCGTGGTCCACGTGCGGATATGGGAGACGATGTCAATTTCAATTGACAATGACGAGAGCTAGCGCTACACAACATTAAAATACACTGCAGTAGAGGTGCTTTTAGCTGGAAATTGTATCTACACTCACCCGAAAATAAACGTGCAATTACCCATACCATACAACACAATCCTTTGTTTCTAACCCTGAAAACATAAGAATTCAAAGTTTACCACTGAAGTATTTTTCATTACTGACAATGATATGATCCATATCAGCTATAACCTTTACTGCTTTCGACATCAGGTACCAAATGTTTAGAAATTATACAAGCCAAGGAGCCCTTCAAGGTTGCCCGCAACTTTAATTCTTCCTGATTTTGTAAGAGAACTGTTAAAAACAACTCATCTTTTCATTTCTTCTGAAGAAAGGTCTTTAATTTCTAAGAGTGAGAGCACCTTCAAGTTCCTTAAATTGGTTAGTGTCCTCCCGAGAGGGTACGTAAGTCCCAAAACATTCAAAGAAAATTAAAACTTTCCACTTTTTAAATCGTATAATATGTGTATTTTTTAATGTAAGGCTAGATTTGTCTCAAATTGCTAACAGCTGAAGGGATGACGTTAATCCAGCTAGGGTCCATGCAGGAAGCAAATGTACTGTAAGTCCCGATGGTCAGGATTCCTAGTATGGTGATCTACCTTCAGTCGTTGGTAATCTATAGCCCGTTTGTAAAATGTACTGTCATTTATAGTTAACATATTTTAGATTTAATTACTATACTTAAATTTATTCCTGTGATAATCTAGATGTTTACTGTCCTTTGCAGACAGGTAGGTATATTATATAAGTTTGGTTTTATTCATTTATAAATTTACAACTTTCTTAGTCACGATATTGCTGAAATACTGCGATGTGACTTTAAACTTTAACTCACTCTTTTCATCATCAGTGTCACTTGTCGGCATGTCGTGGTCCTCGCATACCATGTTGTCACAAGTCTGGTTCGAACATGTCACAGTGCATTTCAGTGCATTGGTAAGGCATTTACTACTTGGCGTTTTACAGACTGTTTCTTTTTTTTGCGGCCATCTTGGATTTAGTCTCGTTCTGAATTAGAGCTACCAAACCGACATGGGTATCATACAATTTTGACATGTAGAACTCTAACAACACAAAAAACCCATAAAAGTTTTTGGTCCCTCTGAGTGTCTGCTCATTGTCTTTTAACAGAGTGCTGAATATACTGCAATGCAATTACCCTTGCTTCTGCAGTGAAAACTGAAGTCTCATCAGTTTATCTAACTGAAAATGTACCATCGGTTGTAACGGCTGCTACTTATACTTTCTCCCGTTTCTTTGACCCGTCGGTACATATGGATTTGTAAGAGGGGTAAGATTGTAAGATTGTTGATATTGTAATGGATTGGTATTGACCTTTTTCAGTCTGGGCAAATCGAGATTGACTACAGGCTGTATACATTGCCATGGAGATATATCTGATATTTATAATTTTTCAATCACGCCTCCTCAAGTAAATTGATTCTACGAAATGCTAATGCTGCCACTGGTGTAGCATAAAATATTTTTCTTTGCTTCGATATTTTGTCGGTGCTCGGGAGTATTTTCTCGTAATTTCAAATATTTCTCGTTTCTTCGATTATTTTCTCGTTGCTTCGAGTATTTCGCGTTACTTCAAGTTTCTGCAAAAACCTTGAAATTTCGAGTATTAACTCGTTCTTACGAGTACTTTCTTGCTACTTTAATTATTTTTTCGTTGCTTCAGTCAATTTCTCGTTGCTTCAAGTATTTTCTCGTTCCTTCAACTTAATTCTCTCAAAAACTCGAAGCAACGAGTAAATGCTTGAAAGTTTAAGTTTTGGGAAAAAATGAAACAACGAGAAAATACTCGAAGCAACGACAAAATAATCGAAGCAAGGATAAAATAATTGAAGTTAGACATCTACCGTTCTTCTTGGAAGACATAACCTTTCAGAAAGCTTATCTACAGTAGGCTAAGCACAGGGGCGTGCAGCTATCTCAATGGTCGTCATACGCTGTTAAAACCTATGGCAACTTATTAGTGCCACAATGTAAACTATTTTCGTCATCTACGAAGAGGTTACTTTCTTCTTCGTAGATGAAACCTGTATCTCTATAATAACCATACTCAGGCCGTCATATCTATTGGTGAGGTTGAGACCCAAGTGGGATAGTTTATAAAATTTTATTTTGTTTCATTTGAATATTGAATGACACGATGGTCGCATGTTTTCGGTTTGCTTTTTTCTGAATCTGCTTAACTTAATGAAAGCATTTCAAATGATCAAAATAAACTTTAAAATATAAACAACCCCAAAATATATTTATCGATCTTAATTAAGGGTTACATTATTGAGTGTTCTGATGGTCCTTGAATAAAGACAAATCAAGGTTGAAACCCTTTATTTTCAGACCCAGAACCATTGTCGATTTTTTGCTTGAGAAATTATGGTTGCCAAAGTCGATACTTGATGACTCCTTTTAATATCATGTGTGTATATATATATATGTATGAACAAAGATGTACGCATTGTCTGTTTAGATGTAAGTATCATCTACGACGACATTTGTTTAGACTGTGGCACAAATACGCTTTCATACAAATCAATAATCATTAAATATATTATAACGTTTTTAAAACGCCAACTCCAGTCTCGATCAACCGATGAAACAGACTCTTGGAAGAAGGGCCGGGTATTAACAACCACATGAGAAGGCAACAAAAAACAAGGACGGCAGGAGCTCGCAAAAAGGGAACTCATTCCCTCCACGAACACAAAGGAAAAAAGTGTTGCCTGACTCCGCACAGCGGTGATCCTGCCTCGGTTCGGCGGCGTTTACACAAGGAAGCCAAAAACGCGACGGGCGAGGGACCCAGTCACACTCTGGCGCTCGTCTGAATTACAACTGCTGTGTACTAGATACCCACTGCTAGTGAAGAAAAGGTAGAACGCCTAAAGATATATGCTCGGTTTGAAATACAGTGCACAGATGGGATAGGTCTTGATGTCTCGACCAAACCAACATAGCTTTTCCAAATCACAGGGCACTGAAACTACTTCGGTTACCAGCAGGAACATCGATCAAATTTCTTGATCTTCCGAAGGAGGTATGTAAACAAACAGTGAGCTCTTTGTTAAGGAAATAGAAGCGACAATACCCTTTTCACATCCGCAAGAATTCTCTGCTAAAAGCAGAGTCAATTGTGACTATATGATGAGCAGATATTTGATTTAGCAGTATTACAGTTGTACGATGTTGTTTGTAAACAAATCGAGTCTGGGCCAGAAAACACACGTGTTTTACAGTCTCGAGTAAATGATACAGAAATAGCAACTATTTTGTAAACTGATACCCGCCTATGTTTACGCCGCTTTTAGCAATATTCCAGCATCAAGGAACACCAGAAATGGGCTTCACACATCGAACCAATTATTCGCAACTCGTGTAAGGAAATAAGCATTCACGGTGTAGATGCTACGCATACTTTCGGAAAAATAACTATGTTTTGTGAAATGAAGTAATGCATCTTTCAATACATGTTCAAAAAGGCTTCTCCTTCGATCGTGAATAAAAACTTGGGAGTGCATTTTTGTATACGCACAAGTTCATTGTTTGCACGAAGAATGATACTCACGTAGGTGTTTTGAATGTGAACAACGTAATAATCGATGTTTAGATATGGCTCCTTATTAAACAGATTTGTTTAAACGAAAATAACGGTTCCGCACGATTCACATATAGTCACATATACATACACACCACACATGATTCCACTTCCACCCATCACACACACACACATGTAACCACGCATACACAGCTGGTACAAACACCCATATACCCTCATATTCACACACAGCGCTATTAAGAAGCCACATAAACCAGTATATATACTGAACCACAAAAGAAATGTCGCACCGATAGCGGTTTCTAAAAGCACACACTATAATTCACTCTAATGAACAATGAAAACGGAGGGTTGAGTTCAAACTTGACGATTATGGTTAACACATTTTCGGGAATCACATTTAGAGTTCACACAAGCAAAATCACCGAAAATGGTACCATTAAGATACCCCAATGTCAGTATTGTGTGTGGCCTCATGGGCATCAATGAAAGCGTTGCATCGTCTGTACATGGAGTGAATAAGCCGGTTGATGAAGGCCATAGGCACTTTGGTCCATACTCTGCGAAATGCCTGATCGAGTCATGCCGCAGTTGTCGGCCTTGGTTGGAGGTCATTCAGTTTTCTTTGAATTTTGTCCCAAAGGTGTTCTATTAGACTTAAATCCGGTCTGAGTGCAGGCTAGTGTAGGGTTTGGATGCCATGTTGTCTAAGGAAGTCCAATGTTGTTCTGGCAGTGTGGGCACGTGCGTTGTCTTGCTGGAAGATGTGATTTATGTAACGTCCAATGATTTGGTCAATATAGCGAGCAGTTATCACGTCATTTTCTCATCCTGGACCAAGATTCTGGAACACCACGGTGTCAACTAACTGGTCCACACCATGATGCTTGGACCACCAAACGAGTCCCTTTCAACACTCGTTGGAAAACAGTTCTCCACACCTTCACCATGCTCTCACTCTGCGGTCGACTGTCGAATACACAATATCGGCTTTCATGAGATAAAAGCACAGTTCTCCATTGTTGATAACGCCAATGTCGATACTGAGTTGCCCATTTTGGTCGGTTTTGGTGGTGATGAGCCGTGAGGATCTGTGACAGCAGAGGTTACTTCCGCGTAAACATATACGCACTGTATAGGCAGGAACGGATGGGTCTGTTGTAAGTCCCAATGGTCTGGCGTGCTGTTTCCCTCGCTTTAGGGAAGCGATCATGCTGATGGTTGCGCACATTCTGTCCTGTCTTGACGTTGGGATGTTACTGAAGGTCGCCCACTGCGTGGACGGTCTTGGATGCTGTTAGTGACCCGATACAGCAGTCAGTAGTTGTCGTAACATGAACATTAAAATGATTGTGCAGTCTTGACAACTTGCAATCGCCCCCAGACTTGGTTCCTGTGATCTCTCGTAAGTCGTGGCATGGTGATTATGTTAAAACGAAAATGATGACAAGCGAGTTTGGGACTCCCTTTCATTGGTAGGGCGTCACGGCATGCACGTGCAATTTTATTTTCACGAATGTCACACGAAACGTTTTACCACGTCTGCTTTCTTCGCTGCGTTTGGTCGATATGTTTTTTCCATCAGAAACACACTGATGTTGGTAATAACTGTCAATTTCGATTGAAAAACATGTTAACAATTGGTACAATCAAAATAAAAACACTACCTTGTAAGAACAAAATTTTGCATTTGATTTTGAAAGGCGATGTTTTTTTGTGGTTCAGTAAATATGCACGCATCTCAGGAAAAGTCACATATATCCCCTTGTACGTATAGAAAATCACATACCTGATTAATGTATTTCAAAGTGGGTCCATTCATTCGTTCGTTTGTACGTATATTTTATCGTTTTTTTCATCCGTGCATAAGCATGTACACACATACACACATAAACACGCATGTATACGCATATATACACACGTACACGTTATGTACACACATAAATACACATACAAACACATATACACACATACTAGAATAGAAACAGCTTTTCTTAAAACAGGTCTTAATCATATTCAATTGGCCACGCTTGCACATATGTCTTGACAAGCCAACGTGGCTAGCCGCTGCAAGGCATTAAACTAGCTGGCACACCATGCAACCAATCGAAATAACTGTAAAGTTTTATGCGCATTCATTTAAATATCCCATAACAACTACAAAGTTAAAAGAAATGTCAAAAATTCTATCAACTTTATTTAAGGCCTTGAAATCAAAACCAAAATCTGCCTAACCGTACGCGTCGTGATGGACATATATTATTTATGTTAATTTGTTTTGCTCTTTACCGTTGGTGGTTTATCAAGAAACAACGTGAATTGAAAAGTATGCACACACATGCATACATAGAGGCACTCACGCAGTCACATTGTTCACTTCCGCAATTTCCTACCACAACCACCTCCACCCCACCACACTGCACCAACACAAACACATTCCCATTCATCCTCTACCCACGATAGTCTTCTTCATTTGTCATTAAAGGCAAGATTGTTATGAACATTATATGAACGACTGCAGATCAGTGATGATGCAGGTTTTCGTTAAACGTTATACTTGACGCAAACCTTTAGGCCAGAGGGCCAGACTCGCTACCCAACCCATCCAACCAGATAATCATTTCATTCGAGTCTCACCTCATCGTCCAACCAAGTGCCAGTGAGAAAGATGTGGAAAGCATATGGAGTTGTATGAGGGCGTATCGCAGTTTGTGTTGAAAAGCGACTTGGTAAAGTTAGTACTAACCCTTTTATATTAAAACCTTAATTGCGAGGTATAGAATCATATGTTTTGCTGTTATGATTTCTAGTTGAAATATTACAAGTTGCATTTAAATCTTGAGTTGTCACTATTCTTATTTGTGGAATAGGTCCACATTTCCTGCATGCAAGACGCTCAAGAAACGAGTGTTTCTGTGCATGGTTGGCTGGTTAGGTAGACGAAGCCTCACAATCGAGTAGTTTGAGCAGGCAGACTTTTCAGTGAAATGATAGTAAGTATTAACTGCACGTTAGGCTAAGTATAATAACCATAAAAGGAACATGACCTTTCATATAAGCCAATGAAATAATGCTCAGTCAGCAAAATCGTTTTTTAATTTTGCCCATCAAGTGACCTATATATTGAAGATTTTGCAAGTCATATGAATATAATTAGCAGTTTTATTATATATATCCAAGTCTGACAGAAATATAGAGTTCTCCTACAAACATTTCCTCTCACTCGTCTTGCATGTAAACCCTGGGTGGGATGGAAGGTCCCTCAAATCAAGTTTCTCTCCACTACGATCGCTGTTATCACAGTGGAAGGACGTACCCGGCGTTTTATGCAGCACCAGAAACTGTTTCAGGTAGGTGGTTAATATACACTCGAAATATTTGAATTGCTTTTATGATCAGTCTGTGGCATGTGGATATTATATAAATTATATCCATAAAACCACAAAATAATTTAACAAAAACTGATTTCGACTGTTATAAGCATGGAAGCATATTATTCACAAATTACACAACCGACAATTTATGACAATACAGTATGTACTGAATTTTAATATGTATTTGGATGTAACAACAAGGTAACAAATCACGCCTATCGTTTCTTTAAATGCTTACAATAAAAACGAATGACAGCAGAGTTGCTACGATTAGCGTGCAATATTGTATATGAGTGGTTCTCAAATCTTTTACATCCTTGGTCTAAAATTAAACTGAATTTAAGTCAAAACCGTTTGCATAGATGCAACACGTTCTTTTTAAAATATTAATTTAAAAATATTATGCTTTAAATAATCGAGTCCAATCTCTTTCTATATTCATAAGAATAGTCCGAGACTATATCCTGTCGTTTATGAATTAATATCAAATAGTGATAACAGATATTTGCGAAAAGGTGAGAGTATTCTGCTCAACCGGTGCAACCCGTCAACTGTTCACCTGCGCAAACATGGTGGCACATGGAACAAGTCGGAATAGAGAAATATTTCAAATAACGCGTCTATCACTGATGCATCAAATTACGTCTCCACATGCCACATACATTTTTTTCAGCTTTGCTGAAGCCTTGAATTTTGCAAGAACTGATTGAACAACAACATGTTTGTAATTGGGACGGAGCTAGCGAAATACCTTGCCTCACACCGTCTTGACGTGGTGGCTTAGATATGGCTTGCCTACATCTGGATCATCTCTGTGTATACTTGGGTCTCAGTCAATTTCACCCTTACATGTAACCACCATAACTTCAAAAGATGGGCTTAAAAAGGCTACCTGACTGTGACATAGAAATCCTTATAAAATGGTGTTCCCTCGTAACATTTGAAGATAACCCGAGACCGCATGGAAACACTAACCCCGGAACCCTTCTTAATCGGAAAACCTTCATTCTAAAAATATTTTTATCTACAAAGATTTTGATGACGATAACTTAGACCAATTTACAAATTAGTCAGTCACCTAAATTTATATATACACCAAACCACCCTTGAATGCGGAACAGGGTTGTTTGAAAACTAAATTTAAAGTCAAAACTGTTCCACACTACTGTATATCTCTGATGGTGATAAAAAAGAATTATTTATTATTTTTATAGCATAAATTCTAGTTGCCATCTAAGTATTTATTTAACAGGAATACAGATATATATTGAATTTCAATGCAGTCCATGTTAAAATTAAACGCTTTTGCAGGACTATATTTGAACCGGACAAGGCCAGTGCTTTTGCAGGACTAAAACGTCCACCGGACAACTGACACTGCGATGTAGTTCAAATAAATAAATAAATAAATGAACATGACTTAGTTTTCACTCAAGTTCAATGCATTTAATAGGAAGCAGCATCGGGTTACATTCCTCGCAGCGATTATGCATAAGGTGAGTAAAGGGGTAGCAGATAAAAACGCAGTTTGAGAGACAAGACAGCAAACAATGTATTAACATATTCACTACATTGTACGTGTTATTTATTTGTCACAACCATTTCGAAACAAACATTTATAAAGGGATAGTACTTTTTAGTAAAGGTAGATTTGTGTCGAATCTTGTAGTTTTACTAATTCATGTGTGTGGAGATCATATCACGTAATCATCCTCTTTAAAGCGTCAGTTGTGTGGAACATCCCCGGCAATTTTACCATATAACGATATACAATTTTTTCTTGATCCGTGTCGATGTTTTCAAAGGACGATAGCATGGTCTTAAACAAGACACATACCCGCTGTATAAATCAAAACTATAAATCACCTGTTTATATAAAGATGTGTCGGAGTATTAAGTACACGACAAGTTAGGTTTTCTACAATTCATTCCTATTTAATCGGAGTGGTAACAATATAAAACACCCGGCAAAAGAAACCATCCATCCATGTTTGATGGCAGCAATAATTCAAGGAAACAAGAAATTCATTCGCTATTATTTATAGAGGTTTATAGTTAGGTTTTGTACCACGTTGTCAGTGTGTCTGAAACTGTTTCAGCTTCGTAGCCTTTTGATGATAAATTAATGAGTGGGTGAGTGAGTGAGTTCAGTTTTACGCCGCACGCAGCAATATTCCAGCTATATGGCGGCGGTCTGTAAATAATCGAGTCTGGACCAGACAATCCAGTGATCAACAGCATGAGCATCGATCTGCGCAATTGGAAACCGATGACATGTGTCAACCAAGTCAGCGAGCCTGACCACCCGATCCCGTTAGTCGCCTTTTACGACAAGCAGTCGCCTGATGATAAATTAACATTTTCAAGAATATAGTGTCTTCTAACCGACAATTTAGACACTACCTATACGTACCCTAACTGTTGACTATCACTGAACGGATTGTTCCAGGTAGGTACAAACGTGTGTAAAATGACCTTTAAGAATCAACGGAAAGTGTAATTTTAATGAAGATTCAGTATGAGCTATTTCACTTTGAAATGTCGTTAGGTTTCGTTTCCTTCACTCAGATGAAAGGAGGGCTCAAAAGGTAGGCCTCAGGTTTGTCTATTTTCTAAAATGCTGATTTGCTTTTACTCATCTGCCCGAAAACACTTGCTATGAAAGTGATATACATTTTGCTCAGTAGATATCATGCCACAGCTACTTGCTTAATCCGGTCTTTTGCTGTGCGAGGATTTATGGACGTATGTTGAAGAGGGCTCCTTGTGAGTTATTTTGTTTAACATATATACGACCTTCCCACTTGAGATAATTGTACACAGTTGTCTCATGATAGTGGGTGTCCCGCCCATCAGTATTGACATTCCTTGTATGGATGTCAACTTCTTTATTTGAGGAACACGACGTTTCGGAGTATATTCTTACTCCTTCATCGCCTGATGAAGGAATATCACTTGCCGTTCAAAGACCCTTGGCATTCCTTGACTTTCTTTCGTTTTCTACCACACTATAAACACATACGTAGGTATCTGCAATTATTTCTTTTGGAAACTGAACAAACGAACAGATAATAAAGAATGTAAATGTTTTCACAGACAAGGTATATGATAAATATATGCAATTCTTATTTATATCATATTCAAAACATACTTTATTCATGCTTTAAATATTTTCATTACGAGCAGCGAAGTGTACTTGGCTTGTCTTATGAGTAAATTATTAAAAGTCAAATTATTAAAATGGCCGCCAATCTTGTTTCAAAATATCTATTAATCCAGCTTGTATATATCTAATCTCAGGCGTCATATCATAGGTACTCGGTTAATGAAAACGCATTTGTTAAACACCAAATAAAAATTTAGTAAATAAAATAAAGATTTCTCCTCTGTACCTTAACACAAAGAATGGTGCATGTGGCTTTCTTCCAGGTACTAAGGAGAGACAAACGTTGTACAGAAGGTAGATTAAGGCAGTATCAGTTGGCAATGGGTCTTTGTGTTTAGGGTCCATTGGAAAATAATATTCTAAATTGTATGGATACTGATTGCATTGACTAAGCACAAAGAACATTTGCATAATACAGATAAAATTTGTAAATATATTTACGTAATTTATTTTTGAGTCGAGTTTTGTAGTTCTACTAATTTCTGGTCTGTCATTTGAACAGGACATATATCTGTGTTGGATGAAGTAAGTAAATCAGTCGTTTATATAAAAGAACTATCTTGCAGTATCATGTGCACGATATTTTATTTTTTCTATAAGGTATAACAGTTACTTATCAGACAATGTATTTGAATTCATTCGGGATGGTTACAGTATAGACTACCTCGAAAAAGAGACCATCTACACATGTTCAGTTGTCAAGAATATACTTTCATTTACCCGACAATTTAGGCACTAAATATACGCCACCTAACTGTTAACTATCACTGAACGGATTGTTCCGAGGTAACTTCACATACGTATATAAACTTACTTTTAAGAAAGGAAAGTGTCATCTCATTAAGATTTCATTTGGAGCTCATCAGAACCAAAGGATCCAATGTATTTGGAAAAGTCGTTAGGTTTCGATTTCTTCACTCGGATGGGAGCGAGAAGCTTGAAAGGCTAGGCCTCGGGTTTGTGTATTTTTCAAATAAGCATTTGCTTTTACTCATCTGTCCGAAACCACAAGCAATGAAAATGAAGATATGTTGCTCAATAAATATCATGTTACAGCTACTTGCTTAATCCGGTCTATTGCTGTGGGAGGATTTGTGGACTAATGTTGAAGAGGTCACCTTGCGAGTTGTGTTGAGATAATTGTGTACAACAGTGCAGTGATTGTGGCTGGCGCAACAAACAACCTTGACAGTCCCTGGGTTTCTTTCGCTTTCCTCGACACTATAAACACATATGTACGGATATGAAATTTATTCTTTTTGAAACTGGACAAAAAGGTTTAAAGAACAGATATTAAACAAAGTAATATCTTCACAGATAAGATATGCAATAAATAAATGCAATCCTTATTTTTATATCATATTCATAACAAACATTATTTATGTTTCGAAGGGATAGTTTTTCATGGGGACTAAATTCCATTAATACTTGAGCTGATATAATCTGTAATCCAGCGATTTAGTAAGCTATGTAACTTTCAAGCAGTCACATAGTTTCATTCATCTGAGATATTTTCATTACGAGCAGCGAAGTGTACTTGGCTTGTCTTATGAGTATTGTTTGGAGAGATAAAAGCAAATTGACTTTATAAAATGGCCGCCAATCTTGTTTCAAAATATAAATGAATCATACTTGTATATACCTAATCCCAGGCGCCATATCATAGATACTCAGTTAATTAAAAGAAATTTGTGAAACATCAAACAATACTGGTAAATAAAATATTTATAAAATATAAAGTATTTTGTACCTTAACCCAAAGAAAGGTGCATGTGGCTTTCTTCCAGGTACTAACGGAGAGTGAAACCTGAAGGTAGATGAAAGCAGTATCAGTTTACAATGGATCTTTGTGATTAGGGTCCAGTGGAGAATAATATTCTAAATTTTACTGATACTTATTGCTTTGACTTAGCACAAAGAACATTTGTATAATAAAGATAAGATTTTTATATAACTTTACATAATATGTTTCTTTGTCGAATCTTGTAGGTCCACTAATTTGTGTGTGTATCATCGTTTACGATATCCAGTGTAAAGTGTCCATTGTGTGGAATATTTCCGGCAATTTCAAATAACGATACTTCACCTGACCAGTTTCGGTTTTTTAAAGGACGATATCATGACCTGCCATTTGAACGGGACACATACCTGTATTGGATGAAGTGAGTAAAACACCCGTTTTTATAAAATCAACCACTGTCTCGAAGTGTCGTGTGTACGATATTTTGAATTCCATTGGGATGGTAACAGTATAAACTACTCGGCAAAAGAAACCATCCACCTATGTTCGATCACAGGAAGAATTGTAAGAAACAAGAAAATGATCCCATTTATTTATACAGGTAACATGGGTTTTCAGTTAGCGTTTTGATAATTCGAATAGATACATTTTGGATTTTTCTGTCAAATCCAGTTTTCAAGAATATACTTTCTTTTACCCGACAATTTAGGCACTCAGTACTGGATCAACGCAGCCAAACTTTTAACTATCACATACATGTGTGTATGCCGAAATTGGAACAAATGAGTGAGTGAGTTAATATTTAACGTCACATCGGCAATATCTCAGCCATATCGTGACGAAAACAATTTATACAATAAAAAGTGAAAACATTTTGAAGATTAAAATCTGTCGACGATGGACAGTAAAAATATTGGATAATTGCAGATAAAATATAAAACTAGCGAGCTAAGCTAAAACATTCCAATTAAAGAAGACAATACAATAAAAAACACGGGTTATAGATCGCCATCAACTGAAGGTAGGTCACCATACTAGCAACCATGGGGACTTACATTACTTTTGCTACCTGCATGGAGCATAGCTGGATTTACACCATCCCTTCAGCCGCTGGCGATTGTAGGATAATTTAGCCAAAATTTAAAAGAACAAAAATACTACAATTAAAAACCTGGTACGTGAAAATTTAACTTTGAAAGTTTTTGGGACTTACGTACCCTCTCAGGAGGATTGGAACAAATGATTACCTTTCAGAAAGAATTTCAATAGGTGTTGGGGGCAGAATCCAGGTCCAATTTCACTTTTGGCATGGCGTGGTGTGTGACGAGTCATGAATCGTTAGGTTTCCATTTGTCAATCAGACTGAAGGGAGGAGCTTGAAAGGTCTCAGGGTTGTTTAGTTTTTTTTAGTTAATATCTACTTTCAATCAACTCTCCGAAACCACTTAAAAAAAATAAAGACATTACACACAATGCATATTACGCTACAGCTACAAGCTCAACACGATCGCATGTGGGATGAGTTAAGGACTAAAATTGAAAAGGGCTTCTTGTAAAGTATTTTGTGGAAACGAAATGCATTCCTAATTGAGAAGATATCGACCGAAAAGTGAGTAAGAGATTATGGTTTTATGTCGCTTTTCGCAATATTTTATCAACATCAAGGCGGGTGACACCAGGAATTCTACCGACAAGACTTAAATTATGAAAATCATATTTTTATATTCTGTATTCAATATATGACATCTGAATGCCAATACTTAAGTAATGGCTTCTGTTATCCTGCCACCAGCTAGTAAATTTGATAGATGAACGTGTTGTTTTGTGATGTCCTGAAAATAAGCAAACGTTGTTTCCGTGACTCAGGGACATGGTATTCAGACATCATTGTATGGTAGTTTGCACAAATACTGTACACGTTTAGACGTATATACAAAGGAACTTAAGGGATAAGCCTTGATAATTTCAAAGACAGTATATATTCTTTATTTATCCTCCAAGTTGGGAGAGTACAAGTACAAGTTGCAAAAAGGTAATATTTACACCACAGTCACATTGTTATGTGAAATAGAGTCTCTCAGAAAGCTGGCTGCACTGCTTAGTGCTATGTGACTTCTCTGCACATCAGATGAATGTACCTTACAGCTACACTAGTAAATGTTCTCTGATCCTCTGCATTAAGTCCATACTGAGGGCTACATGACAGAAGACACAACACCATCTCAATGTCTGACAAGTTGATGAACCATACACTGAAGTCCACAGGACCAATATTGATCAGTTCACACCACAGCTGATCTCTCACGGAAAGTAAATTATCACACTGCACGACAGCATGAACACACGGATCACAATATAACCGTCCACACTTCTCACACAGGTACACAGCATCTGTAATGAATCTAATGCTGGAACATAACTGCACCAGGAACTTGGACGAGGTTCGGTACAGGTGGTCTTCCCGTGACAATGTCCATGCTGGATGAACACACAGGTCTCTGTGTATCTGTGCGAACCACTGGAGATCTGGTTCAACCGTTATCCTATCAGTCCACGAGGCGGAATAGAACTTCCAAACAGCGGTTTTCACACTTTGTTTCCAATAAGCCTTACGTGGGAATATGCCAGTTGACAAGTAGTCTTCTAGCACATTTGTCAACTGATACTTCTGGAGGATTCTCATCAGATCAGGAATGAACCCTCTCGGTTGTGCACACACACCATGAATAAAGCACAGTAGCCTTGTCAGAAACACCTGGTGTGGAAGGTAAGATGTGTTCATGTTTATGAGGTTTCCGGCAAACAAGAGTTTCTTTTTATCTATCTCAGCTTCCAGAGGTAGTAAACCCAGGAGACCAAGACACACATCAGTCCTAGTTCTCTTTGGGAGGCCTTGAATCGTCTTTATGACATGCCTGTAGGAACGTTCAAGCATAAGAATCTCAGTCTGACTGAGAGAGTTCCACAGCTCACTACCGAAAAGACACTTTGGTAGGGCTACTTTCTGGATCAGTTTCAGACAGACAATGGGAGACACCAGAGATGGATTAAATCCTTTCCTTGACATTGTGTAAGCATAGGATCTGATCTTAGTACATGCGTCTCGTGTTCTTTCCATTGAATTAAACCTGTCAGAGAGTATAATGCCGACATGTTTGACTTGGTTAACTGTTGATAGTAGACCCCCATATAAAGAGAGGTCGTCAGCAACAACTTTAGATTTTCTGCTAGCCCCAAATGTAACGCGCTCCGTCTTACTAGAGGAGAATATGAATCGCCACAACCTACTGTAGTTTTCTGCAATTCTCAGGAGGGAGCTGAGATTACTGGTACAGGAACTCACCAAGGCTACGTCATCGGCTTGAGTTGGACATTCTGTGTTCAAATCCATAATTAAGTGTGAGTGAGTGAACGGGGGAGTGACTAAGCGAGCCAGCAGTATGTTAAAATAGTGACCTGGGATTAATTGTTCATCGGTTACAAATAATTTTAAGAAAATAGACGTGCAAATTGTTTTTACTTTAAAAACATCATAAGCAATGTAACGTATGCAGTAGCGACAGAATAGGGAAATGCTGCCAACATTTCTAAAGACAAAGGCAATCGTCACAAAACATACATGCATTCACAACAGCTTGCACCTATGCACTAGGTATAGATTTTAAACAATTCTAGAATAAAATCAAATCGTCGTAGAAATTGAGGTCCCGTGCCCCACTTCTCGCCAAATTTTGACACTCATTCTCAAAATGATTTCAGTGTTCAGTGGTGAGATTGCTACTTTGGACATAAAACGTCAACGTTGATTGGAGCAAAATACTCCAGACAAGTACATGGAGGATTCACTGAATATCAGACATGACAAGCGTTCGTGAAAAGCACCTCCCGCCACAAACACATTTGTACTACTGTCACAATGAACCAATGTAAGTAACAGGTGAGCACAATGTATCTTGCCTTCGGGGCATTTGGACTTGGGGTTTTGGAGGTAGATCTTTCCCTGAAGGAGTTAATACAAACATTTATGGATGAGGATGAGCCTGACATGTATGTGTTCAGCAAATAATTCTCATTTGTTATGTCGCTGGGAAATGTTTTTGTAGACAATTTGCACAATTGACAATGCACATGCACTATGCTGCTGTAGATCATATCTAACAATCATGAGTCATTACAATCATAGAATAATATAAAAATGTATTTGTGTAGGCATGTCTGGATAAATGTAAATATAACACTAATGTGTAATATGATAACGTTTTAATTTGACTTGACATGTACAATCAACCTTACAGTACACGCTGTAGGGATGGGCTTATAAGGAGATGTCGAAGTCTTTATCTAAGCCTACAACTGACCTAAAATGAAACCTACAAAAGGCTTCAAACGAAAACGTAAATACATAATAAATATCTAATATGATAATGTTATTATTTGATTTGACATGACCTTACAATATACGCTGTAAGTATGGCGGATGAAGACATTTCGAAGTGTTTCTCTGAGACTACAACAGACTTTAAATAAAACTGGGGCTTCTTATACAAGGAGGCAATCACATTGTAGCCCTTTTTAAGACGTACCTAAAACTTGTGATTCCGACTGTATTGAGAGCATGAAGGAAGATTATATTAGATAAATATCTTATCATACAGTCTTTTGAAGAAGCGTTTGTCAGTCTGAACCTTTATGCATTGATCCAAATATTGAACAATTGAGGTGGTTTAAATGACTTCCTTTAGTTTGAGTTTAGGTTGGTTAAAATCGCATACATGACATTTTATTCTTAGATTGTCAATACGCCTTATTATGTTACTGTTTCAGAATCTGACAAGAACAAGAAAACTGAAAAATATGGGTCAGCCTTTCTTGGACCGGACTTGTGGGACGAGACAGACGACAATGCAGACTTCACCTTGGAGTACATGGATCTGGTGGACTTCTTGACAGAAAATGGCATCCCGAAAGATCATCAGATCGCTGGAAATCTCAACGAGGCACATTCCACAAACCCACAGCTAAGCAGGAGTAATCACAGTCCCAAAGGCATCGACACATTTTCAGTTCCAAGTCACAGTCTACAAGCCATCGATTCACCTCCCCACACGTTTCCGGGTTCTGACCAACAAGTCACTTCGATGCCATCAGACGTGTTTCCCTGTAGCAGCCTGCAAGTAGTTCCATCGCAAACAGACACGTTACCAAGTAACGGTCAACAACTCCCACCAGACAATTTTCCCAAACACATTGCACGTGCCACTCCATCGCCTCCAACCACGTTTTCCTGTAGCAGCCAAGTACTTTCCTCGCCAACAGACACGTTTCCAAGTAACGGTCCACAACTCTCTCCGTCGCCAACTGACAAGTATCCCAATCACTTCACACGTGGCACGCCATCGTCTCAAGCCGCGTTTCCCTTTTGCAGCCAGCAAGTGCTTTCCTCGCCAACAGACACGTTTCCAAGAAACTGCCCTCACCTCACTCCGTCACCAACTGGCAAGTATCCCAGTCACATCACAGAAGTCACTTCGGGGGCACCAGACACGTTTCCAAGTAGCAGCCAACAACTCACTCTGTCGACAACCGACACGTATCCCAATCACATTACACGTGTGTTGTGCCCTTAAACGCACAATAGTCTTAAGTGCACAGAAATCATAAATAAACATGAGTGGGCGGAGCTTATGTGACCACGTCATACGTGTTTCGTACGCACTACTTCGCTCTTGAACACGGAAGTGTCTTTACTTCTGCTGAGTCGTGTAAAGTTGAATAGCGTGTAATAAGAGTGCATTTTCCCCTACAACATAACAAAAACACCATTTCCTTCCATAGTTACCATTTATAAATATTAAAGAAAATATAGCAATATTCAAATGTTTGTTAAAAGTTCGATCGAAAATTTGCAAGGGACCGTTCATAATGTTACAGCTGGGCTGGGATCGAGTGATGATGATTTTTATGGAGAAGCACGTACAATGTGAATAACAGTCCCACCCCACCCCTCTTCCTTCATGAAAAAGCACAAAGTGCATGTACATGTTTACAAAATTGATGACACCTCTCAACTCTCTCTCTTTCATCTCATCTCTCTCTATCATCTCTCTCTCTATCTCATCTCTCTCTCTATCTCATATCTCTCTCTCTATCTCATCTCATCTCCTCTCTGTCATCTCCTCTCTCTCTCTCATCTCCTCTATCTCATCTCTCTCTCTCTCATCTCCTCTCTCTCAATATCTCCTCTCTCATCTCCTCTCTCTCTCATCTCCTCTCTCTCATCTCCTCTCTCTCGTCTCCTCTCTCTATCATCTCCTCTCTCTCTCTCATCTCTTCTCCTCTCTCTCTCATCTCTTCTCTCATCTCCTCTCTCTCTTTCTTTCTCTCTCTCTCTCTCTCTCTGGGAGAGTGTGAATTCTACTCTTTTAGGTGGGGTGGGGGTAGCCTCGTGGTTAAAGTGTTCTCTCATCATGCCGAAGGCCCGGTTCGATTCCCCACATCGGTACAATGTTTCAAGTCCATTTCTGGTGTCTTCCGCCATAATATTGGAATATTGCTAAAAGTGGTGTAAACCCATACTCAGTCTTTTAGCAGGGTGGTGGGTTGTCTGCAGGTCTTTCCTGTTGGAACTGAATTTGGTGTTTGGTAATCAATTCTTGGGTTATGTGCCATGTTCTTTATCAATAAGGCCAGACAAATGTATTTCTTGTTTTACATATTTTTGTCTTCAGAAGAATTTCTTGTAAGTTGACCAATAAAAACATTAGGATTTTATTTTTTGAGCGGGGAAAATTCATTTTTATTTCTTTTCGTATTCTGGAAAAAATACAACTGGAGGATACGTAAAACAAGAAATAGAACTGGTCTGGTCTAAACTTGAAATATAGGTGTGCTTATACAGTATGCATGAGAAGCAATGTATACAGGACACCTTTAGCACAGTTTACTAAAGCTAAAAGATGCAAATGTGTTATGTGATTTTTAAGATATCAGAAGTTTAAACATTTGGGACATCTTTGAAATAGTGTGAAATGAGAGATAGTTGGTTATGATGCCTCTATCAGTATCATACCAGTCACATCCCAATCAAGGGCATCAACTTTATATATTTGCATTGGGGTAGGGAGTCAAACCAATGCCTGAGGTGTCACATAAGTTTATGCAGCTGAACATAGACAAGCATGTGCAAGGTGAACATGTCACAGTGGACATTTTCTGTCCAAGTATAGACATCCATCAAATCCTGCATGGTGTTAGTTGTTTGTGTATTCAGAAATGTTGTAGAGCATCAGCTGACCAGATAAAAACTGACCATTGTCAGATTTCCCCATAAAATGACAAAAAGAAATGAGTTTTGATAAAGATGTTTTATTACTAAAATACAGAGCAGCCTGTCTTGAAATGGGACAGGCAAGAAGAATACTATGAAATGTAATTATATGTAGTACCGAACTCATTAAGTTGGTTCACACACATATCTTTATTTACTCTATTGCCCATATTAAAAACAGGTGTTTTGAAAAGTGAAAGTAATATTTGATTGTTGTGTGGCCTATACATTCGTTATTTATTGTGAATGGATGAAAGTTTGTAAACTAAGATTTAGGAAAAGTTACAGTCAAACTAAAAAAAGGCAAATTTTAAAATGCATTAAAAGTTGCTTTACAAACAAAAACAACAGGTTTTAGCTGTAATTATCAGTATCTGGCAAGGGGAAGTGTTTATTCATTACAATAAACTCAAAATCATAAAACATTTATTCCAAAATCTTATTAATGTGGTCTTTTTCAGTTTTGTCAATTAGCAATCTGAATTGTTGGAAAAATGTCTGAATCTTTGACATTCGGGTTCTTCCTGATTATTCGTAATTAAAGCTTACTTGATGTGTAAATGTCATCTTGGTATATAACAGAATTGTTATTCTTAGTCAAAATGTAATTCAACTGTGTAGTTTGAGCAGGAGAGGAATAATTATTTTGGGTAAAATTTCAGTCCAATCACATTTTAATCAACATATTCTTTCATAAAGAATAGGTTATGGTATCTGTAAAACTGTCAGTGGATAAAGGTTTTTGTAACTACAGGTTGATGAAATTGATGGCTATACCCTAACTTTTCTGAAGCATCACATCTTATTTTCAAAAT